GATTCCTGTCATTTTATCTGACAGTGGCAATACAGCCATCTAGATTTGGTCATTCCTACTGCGATTTCTGAGTCCTCTTCAAGTGATAYAATCCTCATTCTTTACCATTTACATAGCTAATAAAATATTGTTGCACTTTTCCAGTGTTGAACTGCGGGGCATTTCAATTTTAACTTCATTTCAAGAGGTAAAGATAGGCTTTTTATTCCTACTGTTTTCCTCATGAGCTTTCAAGCCCCATGATAGAATTTAGGAGGTGAAAGCTCTCACTAGCTGCCAACTGCTATGGACTATATCAAAGACTCACTAAATTCCACATATACAGTTCTCTCACAGGTTTCTTCAATCTTTCATGAACTTACTTGCAGTCAAAAGGAGGGGGAGTAAGTATGACAGTCTTTGAACTTGGATACATTATTTTTCATAGACTCAGACTAATTTGGGGTGGAAGAGACCTCTAGAGGCCTCCAGTCTAATGATCTTCCCAAAGGCAGGGTCAGCCTTCAAAACAGATCAGGTTATTTGGGATTTATCCAGTCAGGTCTTGCAAACCAACGGATGGAGACTGCATGACTTCTCCACCTCTTGATTTAGAAACCCACTTCTGYTTCACTTAGTAACATCAGAAAGAGACTGATAGGTTCAAGGAGAGRCAATTAAAGCTGCAGATTCTTGAACCTGAGTCCTTTCTAACCATTGTGAGCCTTTCCAGGCAGGACACTGTAACTGGCAGTGCAGTGACCCTGAGCTGAGCCACACGCATGGTTTCACTCCATGCAGAGAGATTATCTTCAAGCAGGGATGCACAYTCAGCCTAGATAGTATAGAAGATACAAGCAGATTATTAATCATTCTTTCCTACTTGGAAATTTTATGCAGCAGCTTCTTACTCAACTTCCATCCTTCAGGCAGCTTTATTTTAACATTTRTAGTGAAGGCAATTGAAGAAAGCTAGAAATGGTTTCACAGGCAGTATCACCAAGTAGCAATTAAATTGTGKKTTTTTYCMWTTTTTTTTCTCAATTGTCCACACTTTTGAGTTTCTTGAGCCAGTTATTATATTACTTGTTCTGGGTCCTGTCACTGAGCAAAGACTTTGAAAGTTTCGCTACTTTTGCTTCTATGTTGCTCTGACTTTTCTGCATATAAAAACAATTGGAGAACCACTGATACAGACTGAGAAAGTTGTATTTATGGGAATCTGTCAAGGGGGCTACCATAGCTCTGCTGATCATTGCCTGATGAATAGTCAGAGAGAAGCCCAGGGCACTCCTGTATCCAAAACGTGATGAGTGTGCTCCTTGCAAAAGTCCTTCAATTTGTCTTATGAGCTGGTTCAAAGTACTTCGATTATGAAATGAGTGTTTCAATTAATTCTCTTAGCCAGAGATTTGTATAACAGGTGAATTTCACACCCTGCTGTTTGAACATGCTTKCTAAAGGGAAATTTTTTTCTGAAAAATTGATGTGTAATCAAAACAAAATTTCACTTTGATAATACGTTTGATTTTAAACTGCTTAGCTAAAGAGGCTTTATCTTTTAAATTCATCAAAACAGTGTTTTATTGAATTTATTGAAGTATTTGTTTGGAAGAACTAAATATAACAGATCCCAGGAGCCCTCTGTTCTGAATAAATGCAGTAACTTGCAATGCACCTGGAGCTGCCAAGCCTTCCCCTGGAATCTGCTGAACTCTCCGTGCYCTGTGCCCGGCTGGCAGCGCTCAGTGCAAGGGCAGGGCAGTGCCCTGGCTCCTCTGCAGCTCTTGGAGCTTTCACCAAGCTGCCTGGGGAGTGAGGAGCTTTCAGTGCCTGGTAAAGCTGGGGACAGCACGGTGACCCTGTGCTCGCTTTTCTCATCTGCGTGTGAATCCAAGCATCTCACATATCTYKGGGCATGTGATCCCAAAACAGCAYTGTCTKACCTAASAAACGTRTTTTCCCTCTGGCTGAAGTTATCCYATGACTTTGACTCKCTGYAGRAGCAGTTTAGARCAGCCTGTTTGAGGTCTGAGRAGGGCTGTKAGTMTCTCAGGGGGTTGTGTTGCCATGTGCAAGGTGATACACCCTGTGGTGCCTGCCCCCAGCTASATCCTGCCTTGAGCAAAAAGAGCAAAGCTGACAGTGGGGAACATCCCTCAGGTAGGAAAGGTTTTATGGTTTGTGCACATCGATATCAAGGATCAGCCGCTGCCTGAATTAGTCATGGAAAGATAAGCGCTGATCTAATTTTACCACTCAACTTTCTGAACACTACAGATGCAAACTGCGTGAGAATAATAATATTTGATCATACATAGCATTGTCAAGTGGATTTGTCAATGTCTTTTCTGGTGGCTATAAAAATGTACAGTCTATTTAACGGTACAATACCACAGCAGACATTCAAATTGTTTGAATTGATGTTAAAAAAATATATAGAAAAGGCACCTTTTTATAATGAGCAATCCCTGGGTGCTGTATTGTTATACACATGGCAGTAGCTCACCAAGATGAATTTCTCCCTTAGATCAGTTTTATTCTTGGTGAAGTACTAATGACTATAATTCTTATTTCAAATTTTCTTAAACTGGAGTTAAGAGTTTGAAATGATGTTGAATGTATCACTAATTTTAGGAAGTCACAAAGAGACCCAAATGTACTTGTGTATGACCTCACATGGGAAGTCTGGAGTCACTTTGTGCTTGCTAAAATTCGCAAAGACAAAATATTTAATATTTAATATTTAATATTTAAATAGAATAAAATATTTAATTCAGCTGTCAAAACTGTGACTTACTTCCATGGAAAGTTATTGCTGTATTTTCAATCATGCATCAACCACAAAGACTATTCAACAGGAAATCTAAATCCAACTCATATCACAAAACAGATATCAAAAACCAAAGATCATTTTGTCAYGAGCAAGTATGAGTACCATCTGAACAGTAGCTCTTTCAAAAACCATCTCATCAATTGAAAGATTAGATATAACATTGAATATAGAATTGCATAGAATTTCCTATGATAATTCAATCAAATTCAACAAAACATCAAATTCCAAATTCCAAATTCCAACAAAACACAACCATGTTTTACAATGTAAACAAAGATATTTATTCCTGCAGTTTGTCTCACAACTTCATCCCTAAGAAATCAGGGATGGAAAGATTATATAATAAATTACATACCAAGTGATTACAGGGGACAAGAAAGAGACAACTCAGAGTCTGGAAGATTTTGGATGAAATAGGCTCTGGGACAGATGTTTCCTTATATTGCACATGTAACTACAGCTGCTGCTGAATCAGACAGTTATAGGTAGTCTGTAAGTTAGGCAGCCACAGGTACCCTGTGCAGAAAAAAGTTCATATTTCACACTGAAATATTGGTATAATTTTAAATTTCCATTCCAGATGRTAATTTATAATAAGAACCTTTCTCCATACAGACATATATATATGCATTCTACATTATTTCCAAATGTACAGAGAATTATTTAATGTAATTTCTTATTTATCCTGTGTTTCCACAGCTGCCACTACACAAATTATAAAAATAATCTTAGAATATTTCACAGTTTCATATGATTCTCTGTGAGGGCTAGAAAGAGTGGAATCCAAAATGCTAAAGGAAGTGTTGGCTTCCTTCTTCTGTCAATAATGATGTGAAATTTAGATGATGACTGAGATCATATCATGCAAGCAATGTACATACTATAATTGCTATTGCTATCGAATTCCTGTGTAACCTTTATAATAGAAGTTGTTCTGTATTTTAAATTTGGAAAGAAAAAATATTCCGATGTAACATTTTCCTTTTGCAATATTTCACTTTTTAAATTATTATTCCATTTGTGGGCACATTGTGAAAAAACTTTCCTAGGAAATGTTTAAACTGGAACAATCAAGTCATCCCTTACCTAAAAGAGATTTTAGGTGGAAGTGTTCATTTGCAGACTTAGTCAACAGTTAATTTTGCCAGTTTATGGTTCTTCGTCTTTCAAGACAAGGGGAAAATTCAGCCCAAGGGGCAAAGGTTTTGCTCAAGGTGCACTGCTGGCTCTGCCACTATGCCAGTGTCCCACCAAGAAGAGTTTCACAAATTCCTGAAGTTCAAACTGGCAGTGACAAGGCAGTGCCACACAACACCACCACATCACACCAAGCCGCAGGGTGAGCCAAACCAGGCACCCAAACAACTGCCAAAGCCAAGAGATGAATTTTCCCTGAGCAGGTTCACACCAATGGCAATAGTGYTGGATCAAGAAAGAGGGTGGGAATGACTGRCAGTGATRGGGAAAAGTTGTTTCCATCCCTCCTCACAGCAGCATGAATTTAGGTCAATGAAAAATAATCCTGAAAGTGCAGCTCTCTAGGGCAATATTGTTCTCTTTGCCAAGGATGACAGAGTTGAGCTGATGCCTCAGCCTGTCATATTCTACATCTTCCCTTATCCCTGCTCCAGTCCCCAGCATGACACTTGGTTACAGACAGCCAAGTGGGATTTGGGGGTGAAAGCAGAGCTGCTGGACATACTCAAATAGCMCAAGACAGCTCATGGGACTCTGCGGTGTGTGAGTGACTGACCTTGCATGTGAACGTGGCAAAATAGCGGGGTCTGGCATGCAGGGTAAAACCACCCATGTTTCCAATTAAATTATTTCTGTCAAATGTGGAGTCCCTGAAGCAATCAGGCACCTTCTAGATGCAAATMTTTCKTCTCATTTTTACTGCTGCTATGAARAATAAAGGATATAATCTTGAAAACCATGTCAATGCTAACCATATGAAAACAAAACCACAATAAATGGCAATCCAGACAGCCTCTTTAGTATGCATGTTTTCTCAGGGCAGCAAAAAGATGTARATAAAAATCATTTGCCTTTATGTACTATATGGTTTTCATTGGTTTTGTAATGATTTAAGTGACTTAGTTCTCATACCCAAATGGGGAAAACTTTAAAATTGCAGAYTTCCTTTGGGTATGGAATGTAATGCTTTCCTTTCCTTGTATTCCAGGGACATCAAACCTGACAACATACTATTGGATGAACATGGTAAGTGAGTATTGACTGCTTTCTGTAAGAATATCTAATTCCTGAAATCTCAGTGGCAGGCTCATGACATGCTTTGTAAATCAACCTCAGATGCTGAATTCTTACCTAAATCTGGACTTTCTCAGAAAGCTCCCTCAGAACACTGTGTGGATTTTGTGGTTTTTCCCTCCTATTGCCAAAGAAATGTGGGGATCAGAAATTTTCAAGGTTCAAAACCAAAGGAATTTAATATGAATTGAGATCAACAGGGACACTAGATAAAAAGAACTTACTATTTTATTAACAGGATTCTGTGAATCACCATAAACCCTTTTTAGGTGCCTAGTACCAAGCACTTTATTTTCTCTTTTAGAACGTCTGAAGAGCTAAGAAATTTCACATAACAAATTATTTCTCATGTAGATATTAAAATTAATTTCCTAAATCTAGATAGAAATTTTGTAAATTTGACTGCAAAATTGGTGTGCCTCTATGTAGTTCTGGCTTAAATAGCACAAAAAAGAGTAGACAACAATAGACAGCTTTGAACTTCTACTACCAATTCCATTTTCTCAAAGATAAAAGACACAGTATGGAAAAAAAACCCAGTTAAATTTAAATTTAATTTAAACTTAAATTTTTAACATATATACTGTCTCTAAGAAGTATTTAGAGAAAACTTCACACATGCTCTTGCCACATGAGAAATACAGGTAAAGGGGGCATTTACCTCGTATGAGTTAAAACAGAAGTACATATGAGAAAAAGACTAAATGGAAAAAGAAGATGAGTGTTTGCTACTGTGGGAAAGTCTTGTGCTTTGTTTACTTCAGGAATTGATTAAAAGCAGATAATCTCTGAGAAAATATAATATTGAAATTATGCCAACAATATCATTATGTCAAAATCCATTGCAGAACTGCTGGGTTGATTAAAGAGGTAACATTCTACATAGCTGAAGTTTCTTCCTGGAAACATGAAAGCCAATAAAGCTAAGTAATATCGGGGTTTAAAACCATCAAGAACTTCAGCAATTTAATGTTTCAGACCAATAAGTGAGAATGCTCCCAAGACTCCAGTATCTGCAAACAAGCACGAAATAGAAATATCTTGTCTTTAGATCCTGGTGAATTATAGATGTCAACAGTAACACAAAATGAGTATGAGTATGTTAAATCTCCTATTTTCAGCCTTTGAAGCTCAGCACCTTTATCTTTCCCTGCCCCTCATCGAGGTCAATTAGGGCACAAAAACAGCCTCTTGTGAGAGCTTTCTGATGGACTCTGCAGCACCACAGAGCAGAACCAGAGTGAGCACTGTGATGCAAAATAAAGGGGTTTTTTGTGATTATAAACTGTTCAGCAACAAAATTATCTGTAGGCAGATGGGAAATTTTGGGATGGATTGCCTCCTTTCTGCAAAGCAGCAGAATATTGCTTCCTCACAGCACACCTGCAGACAAGCAGTGAAACAAGAGACTGCTCCAGACACAAACACAGACCTTGGTCAGCAGAACGAATCAATTCATGGGTTCAAACAGCTCCAAAGGCCTGCATGGGGTTTGGAGAAGGAATTCCCTGAACCTGGGAAAGGGTYTACACACTTCAACCCACTAAATGAGGTGATATCCATAGGACAGGTGTCTGTACTGTGCTAATTACCTCAGGTTTACCTCACAGAAGTGCAGCTCTTTTGCAAGCAGAAAGCTAYTCTCAAAGTCCCTGCCAACTCTGATTAATCYGCAGKGTAGTRAYATCATTTTAACAAAATCATCAGATTTCGCTTAATGGAAAAATGTGCTGAATATATGCACCATGAATATGTTTGGCTGCAGARTAAGCATAACAAATTCACCTAATATGAGCCTAACCAGGTGCACAGGAAGGAACTTTATTTTAGCCTGTGGCCACTGAGATGGTACAGCAGTTTTCTATATGCTTGACTTTACCCCTAGGTCTTTCTTACAGTTCATTAAGTAAATTATGCTTGCATAAAGTATCATGTAATTGGATATGCACAACAATTCTGACTGAGACTTTGTCTCAGTGAGTTAGATTTCTTTGGCCTCCCTGAAGAAACCTATTCTGGCTGAACTCAAAATTTGGTGTTATGCCATTCACATCCCCTTATACCTTCAAGCAGTTAAATCAAGTTTCACATCCTATACCAAGAATATATATTATTGCTATTTCACTCATTAAAAATAGTTTCACTATAATTTATCTGTATAGCTTAGGGAACATGTCTCAGGAATACAGAAGTAGTGAAAACAGAAGATTTTTCTTTAAAAGTGATCAATCTAATTTACAAATTTAAAAAAACAAACAACCCAACACAAAAACATATACAACATATTCATAATCATTCTGGCAGAGAAAGACTGATTTTTTCCATATGTTTTTCATCAAAGCCACGTCTCAGGACTGCTGAGCACGGGTTCTGATGCATCAGTGGAAATAAATGTTTGATGATCATGAAAAGCATAGAKGTACATGAGAATGGGATAACCAGCYGCTAAAAATAGTGTTCAGCCCCAATCAGAGGATGATTGCATGGTCTCCTGGAGACAGTCCACATCCCAGCTCTGAGCAGAGGAAGTAGGAACTGTTTCAGGCTTCATTCTATGAACCAGAGCCAGCCCCTCTAAGAAAATCAATGCAATCAATAAAGCTGTTTTTTTAAAAAATGTTTCCTTCTCAGCTTTCCCAGAAAGTTCTTTCTATTATGATCAGCACTAATCTCTAAATTTAGTAGTAGTGTTCTGTTCTGCTGACATATATCTGATACAGAATTATTCCATTTGCAGCTGAAGGCACTATGTAGTGTTTCAGGAGAGCTATTACTATTGTACAGAGAAAAGCATTATAGAATTCTCTTAATGACAGAATTCTGCTTCCTCTTCTGGTCCTTTCATTTTAATGGTTTAGAACAATAWAACTGAAGTGACAGCATTTAGATCTGGAACCTGGTAAGTCTGTCCATGTTGTATTTTTTTCTGAAATATCAAAGAAATTAAAGATGTCTTTAAAATTTTGCATGATCTGTTAACAATGATGGCTGAGGAGATGTAGAATTTCTTACAGGCAGAAAAACAAGCACTGGCAAACAGATTAGTTAACCGACTTTTTAAAGAGGTTATAACATTATTTCTACAGCTGTTTGGTAGCACCATTGAAATTAGCATTTCTGGTGGTTCTGCAGAAATTACAAGCTCTACTTTTGCATCCAGGCTTAGCCTTGTACTAAGTGAGCGCACCATCATTACAATCTATTTACAAAAAAAAAAAAAAAAAACCACCTGCAAGAGTTTGAATTCCTCTCAAGTGAGTTTTCCACAAAATCATTTCATGAAATGCAGTGTGATCCATGATCCGTGCTTGGTTTATTGAGGAAGAACTCCCTGCTAGGTCAGATCCAAGACCTTGGCCAGAATTTTGTTGCAACTGGTGGCAAGAAGAAACATTATTTGTGGAACRTGCCTTTTGCCACTTGGCCATCAAATGCCTCAGTGCTGCCTATCACCCACAATTTTTTTGTGGTAGGATATTAGAGCATCTTTGCATGTTCCATTTAGAATGTGAAGGAATTCTTGTTCATAAGTTTTTTTGCTGCTTTCTTGAAGTTGCAGCTGATATTGGCCTCTATAACCTCCCGGAGTAACAAATTGGAGAAATTCACTACCCTTCATGAAAGAAAAATGTTTTGTTTAATGTGTTTTAAAACAGTATTCTTTAAAAAAAAATCATCTAGAATTCCAGGATTTGATGAATAATAACTTGCAATCACAATATTCGAGATATTCAAAAACTCTTTCAGCAYCCTTCAGTCAGCAAAACACCCTCATTTTTTAATGTCTCCCTATTAKGGAGATGTTTTACCCCTCTCTCTTTTGCCATAGATAAAATTACAGATATGCAGGCTTTCAGTTTCAGGGTGGAAGAGCAACCACAGTGGATCAAAGACCCATCTAAYTGAGTTTCTTATCTCCAGTGTCTCCAAAATGCAAATGACAGAAAGGATATAAAAAGAGAGTAGTTTTTGTGGCATTTTCCCCATGTACTCACYCAACCTCCAGCTTTTTGTGACTCAGACATTTCCGGGCTCATGGTTTCCACACATTTAACAGTTTYCAGTGACCTTTTCCAAGATAATTTCTGGTGCTTCCTTGCGTGAAGAGAACTTTTTGCATCCTTAATATCTTGTGTTAGGGTCCTTAGTTTAAATACAGATCACGTGAGGACTCACTACTTAGTTGTTGATTTTGAAGGTGCTACCTGTTAATTGCACCAAATAATTACTATTACTAGTCTTGACACTCTCTCCTGATGTCTCTCCATACTGAAACTGCAGATCTAATATCCCACTCTTAGACTTAGCAGGGCTATTTACATGTTATTGGGTTTTGGGGGTTTCTTAGATTGAGTTTGGTATCTGATTGTGTTAATTTTACTCAGTAAAAYCATATCACCAATGAGTGAGCAAAGCCAATTGAAGCTGATATTCACATGTGTCTTAGTATATATTATTATATTAGTTTATGACCATCAAAGTTCACCTTAAAACACTATTTCCTTGAACACAACTCAGCTCTCATTTTAAAACTGTCAGCAAAATTGAAAGATGTAGCCAATGAGCAATGTTTGCATTAAAACCAAAGATGGGATGAAATAAATAATTGGAATCTCAGTATTAACTTCTGAATACCAGAACTGGCAATATTATTGCTGTCTACTGATGTTTGTGAGACATCTCCACTAAAGGTGCACCTGGTGTGTGTGCACCTTGTTATACCCACAGACAATTTGCAGGGACTGTATCTTGTCTAACCCTCCAAAGCTGATTATTAAGACAAAGGTTTCCAGCATAATTCATCCACCTGAAGCTGTCCAGAGTCTGAAAGTGTATCTGAAATTTTAATGTGCCATCATGGCTATTCAACAAAGTAACTTTCTGAAATGCACAGCTTTGCTGAGCCCACTACAGCCGTGCAATTCCTACCAATCTCCCTAATGAGAAGTGTTGACTGCCAAGTCACACCGAGTTCAGGTGCAATGAGCTCAGGCTCTCGTACACAGCACAGATGAACCCAGAGAGGCTTTTAAAATTCTTCATAAGTTTGACTTTCTGAGAGCAAATCAGGTTTGAATGTACKTCAAAATGTTGCTGTTCTGAGATTTACAATCAGCTCTGGTTCATGCTGAGTTTGATGGCATTAACTCCAGTGTATTTCTTCTCTCTGCTGTCACATTCACCCCTTTGGTTTCAGACTCTGAGAAATTCAATGAGGTTTGAAATCATGTACATTTTCCTCTGCTGAACGTTAGTCAGYCAGCCCCAGCCAACTTTCAGGACTTGTTCTGATTGTCATTATGATTTGCTCAAAAATTGAATCCAAACACAGATCATTTGCTSTTTACCACAGATACTGTAATTTCAGGCTATGTTGAAAAGTGAGACACAAAAGTCACATCACATAAAGCTTTCCAAAGTCATACACYGCACTGTGGGTAGTTAAAGCCTTTACTGGAAGCTGACTGAAGGAATGCAATTTTTGAGACAATTTCCACTGAGATACTTTCCATTTCCAGTGCATGTGTTGGTGTATGTGAAATCTGCAGTCTGAGATAATTTGAAAAATCCATTCTGCAGAGAGTCAAAGRACTGTGGTCATTTGCTTTTTTCTTCCCTTCTCTCTGCCACCTTTTATTATGTATGGGGTCATGCAGCTCCAGGGATTGAGCAATGAGCTCTTTCCCTGGAATACTTGGATTTAGTTAGGTCTGCTGAATCTGTTGTGCACTGCTCTGCCTAAGAGCTAAACTCAAGTGACACTGACATTCTGCTTAGTTTAATATTATGTCAGGGTACAGACTTTGTTTTGACATTTAGCTGTTCACAATCATATCCAGAAATGGAGATCAAGTACAAGGTGTGAAGCTCAGATGGGGAAAATGTCCCCATGAGCAGAAATTTTGCAAACAGTATGAAGTAGGTGGTATCCCAACATATTCACTGCATTAAGAGCAACCTTCCCTTTTCCCATGTGCAGCAGTTGCAGTAAAAACATGTCTTAGAGGTTGATTAGAAAGACTTCTATAGAGAATTGGGGTCTAATTGTCTCTTGAAGTATTCACACCAGGGGKKAAAAACTTAAARAAACCAAACCAAAYAAAGCAAAACCAAACCAAAYAGAAAAWCCCAAACCCCCAAACYCCCAAGTCCTTAGGTTTGYAAGAGTTGAAATCATTCAGTGGGTGCAGGCAGGCAGAGCTCCACCTCGACACCCCTCCAGCCCTGCTCTACTGCTCACTGTAGAGCTCCCTGTTCTGTCCTTGTCCCACACCCAGCCCCTCTCCATGCCCCCWGCTCCCACCAGGCACCTCCCCTGCCTGCAGAACACCTTCCTTTCCCTGCAGCACCAACCAGCAGCCCTTCAAGCACCAGGCAGAGCCAGTCTGCAGACACCCTGAGGGCTGTGGAGTTGCCCTGTGATGGGCAAAAGCAAACAGGCAGCTTTTCCAGCAGTAAACTGTGCCCTACCTCATCTGCAGGAGCTCCCTTTTGCTGCATGGGCAGCTCGATGCAGAGGGGCTATGTACAACCTACCTTTCCAGTCCATCTCTTACCTTCCAGATAGACATTTCTAACAAAAAAAAAAAAATGCAATTTTGGTTTTGTTAAATGAAATTTAATAAAAGAAAGACAAAACAATGCATTGCAGGAGAGGCAATTTTCATTGCAAATCACCTATTTGGATCAGTCTGAATAGATATGATGTAATAGATGTTTTGCAATGGGCAATCATGCTGGCACTCTAATAGGGAGCATCACTTACAGTCCTGTCATTTAAGTGACAGAACTTTATATATATATATATATATATATATATATATATATATATATATATATATATATATATATAAATATATATATATATATAATATTCATATTATTTATATTTATATTTATATTTATATTTATATTTATATTTATATTTATATTTATATTTATATCTGCCAAAAAAGGAGGAAATATTATTCTACCAAGATCTTTGCAGAATCTCATTCTACCATGTACATAGAATTGCTTTAAACTACTGCCATGAGGTGGCTTTATGTTGTTCGGTTCTCATTTTCAAGAAGCCTTCTGCCACAGTGTTTTATGATGGCAGAAACAAACTGCAAACAWCAGGAAGCAGGAATACCACATTCCAATTTTCATGTCAAGCTGGGCTGTGAACACTAATTCTTGTCATGGCAGCCTAACAGTTCCCACCTCTAATAAAGCATGGCTTTCATTGGCTCACAGTTTTACTCTGATGTGTGTTGAGGGCTTCCTGGGCTGGGCATCTTAGGAAAAAATTGTCAGTAAAATGCAAACAGGTTTTTTCAAAAATAGTGCAGAAAAGCACGCAAAGCTTTTAATTGTAAACTTCTACTGTGTCTCCCATTTGGAGAAGCTTTAGGTTTAGCAGTGGGAAGGGCCTTTTTCTTTTTCCAAACCAACCAGCTCAGATCTGGCCAAATCAGGGTCCTCTGAGAATTTCAGTCCCCACATGCACAGCTGCACAGTTAGAGGTTGGCAGATACATTTCCTGTGGACTCTGAGCAGGATCAAGGTTGGATTGTTGGAGCAGCATGACATTTTGTTGAGGCTGCTCTTCCTCCATCAGGCACCAGGGTAACATCCATCAGTCATTTGTTAATCTTTACATTTTTTGCAACAAACATGATAACAACCTCAGTCACTTAACAACTGCATCATGCCCAAATCCTGATCCATTCTGTGGATTGAATGATACTGAGACCTTGATAAGAAAAAAAAAACAAAACAAAACCCACAAATTTTTCACTCAGGAGTCTCATTCAACACATGAGGTATTAATCCTGATCTGAGTGCAGAGCTAAACTGGGGGAGGGAGTACGTGCCCCTGCACCCTGTCCCCCATGGCTTTGTGTAATCACAGACAGGATAATATCTGCATCACTCCACACCACTAGCCCTTGAGACACAAAACCTAACAGACTTGTCAAATTAAAATTCTGTAGATTTTCAAACTGGATTAATATTCAGTTTACCAGCCTATGGCAAAGCAGGATTAACAACTGTTACTTTAATGTGATGGAGCAATTGAACCTATGCTTATMATAAAATATCCCAGGAACAATGTAATAGCAGGTTTGGGCCACTCAGCCTGATTAGAACAATTTAAATCATCTGTCTGGCTGATCAGGCAGCACATCCTTAGGCTGCCTTCTGCCACTTATTGTTCATCTTACTGTCAAATGGGTGATCATTTGGGACCTGCTCCTRTTATATACACACATCTTCTGCTACCATGGATATAATTTCATTGTTATTGTATGATAAAAATACCGTTTTTCTTCTCACTTCTCTCTTTGCTCTGAGAAGACTCAGAAAAAGTCAGGCTGCTGGTAACCTGCGATGGATGAAATTGTAGACACTCATAAATACCTGAGATGTGAGGGGTGGCTGTAGCTGGTGACAAGGAGAGGCAAATTTCACACACAGCTTCACATTCTGCTTCTGTTACTGTTCTGAGAAGGCAGAGAGATTCACGGAATAACAGAATGGTTAAGGGTGGAAGAGACCTTCATGATCATCTGTGATCATCTAATTCCAACCTCCCTGCTGTGGACAGGGACACCTTCCATTAGGCCAAGTTGCTCAGAACASCATCCARCCTGGCCTTGAACACKGCCAKGGATGGGGCATCCACARCCTCCCTKGGTAACCTGTTCCAGTRTCTCACCACCCTCTGAGTAAAGAATTTCTTCCTAATACCTAAYCTAAACCTGCCTCTTTCAGCATAAAACCACTGCCCCTGGTCTTATCACTATTTTTGATTAATATAGTCTGTCTCCCTCCTTTTTATAAACACCCTATAGATACTGGAAGGCTGCTCTAAGGTGTCCCTGGAGCCTTCTCTTCTCCAGGAGGAGCAATTCCATTTCCCTGAGGCTGTCTGCACAGCAGAGGTGCTCGAGCCCTCTGAGCACCTTCATGACCACCTCTGGACCCCTCCAGAAGGTTCACATCTTTCTTGTTCTGAGGACCCCAGAGCTGGACACAGCACTCCAGGTGGAGTCTCTGGAGGGTATAGAGGAGGAGGGGAGAATCACCTCCCTCATCCTGCAGGCTGTGCCTCTTTTGGTGCAGCCCAGGCCAGTCTCTTCTGGGCTGCAAGTCCTCACTGCTGTGGCAGGGGCAGCTTTTCATCCAYAAGAASCCCCAATTCCTTCTCTGCAGGGCTGCTCTCAGTGAGTTATCTCCCAGTCTGTGCTCATGTCTGGGACTGCCCCCAGTAGTACCTTACACTTGGACTTGCTGAGTTTTATCCAGTTCTCAAGGGCCCACTTCTCACTTTGCTCATGGCAGGAGAAGATTCAGGGGTGATCAGCAAAAACAGTTCAGCACTGCAAACATGTAGTGGGTGCAACCACACAAGAGTAGTATTCCATCAATTTGTGACAATTTGATTTTTCTGCTTAAGAGCAACATTTAATATTAAGYGTCCATTAATGCTACAGGTTTTTCCAACTGTGTTTCTTTCCATTATCATATAAATCTTAGATAAAGATGAGAGTATTTTTATGATGTGCTATTTTAACTCCTGGTTTTACTTTGTGTAATTGCAGGACATGTTCACATCACTGACTTTAACATAGCMACCATAGTGAAAGGCTCAGAAAAAGCTTCTTCCATGGCTGGCACAAAACCCTATATGGGTAAGTTTTCAAGACATTTAAAAATRTAAGAAAAGTTATACATTAAGACTGACTAATGGCATAGCAAAAGGATTTCAAGTTCTAAAAGCATAATGTAGATATGATCAACTTCTTTTTTTTGACAGTGTTTATGTGTGTTAACAGTGGAAAACTTGGGAGATGGAGGATGTTGTTTGGATGCTATTTTAAGCAGGAGCTTGATCTCTACACTGCTTCTTGTCAGGTTCTGTTTGGTTTTGTGAAGCAAATTCAGGAGAATTTCAGCTGTGTTACTTTCTGTAAATCCCCACATCTTCAGACAAGAATATACAATATATCTGCACCACTGTAGCGGTGACCTAGCAGAGAACACATAATGTAATTTCAAAGTATTTAGACACATCCTTGAGTGCTTTGCTGAGTTCCTCAAAAATGTGCCTGTTAAAAATAGAGTTCTGTGTAACTACCCGCTGAAGTTCTTACCCTATGGCTTTTAGGGCCATTGTTGTTGTATATTGCAATAAAATATTTAAAATGTATGGTTGACTGAAGGCTGGGAGAGTAAAATTCAGTCCACCTGTCTTCATGTGTCAAAAAGGTAAGCATCTTGGCTAAGTTAATAACTCAAACTTCCCCTGAAGCTGAAGGACAGAAGGCATCTCCTGAAGGTCATTTGTCTCACCAGAGTCAGRCTAGCTTCCATGACTAAGGGTATGYGTGATTTGTCCTGTTTATGYGTTCCTACATATCTGCTGCTTTAATTCTTTATATGGAATTGTCATTGTTTGAGCAGATGAGCAGCCTAAGAGTAAATGTATTTGGATTCAGGAAACCATACACTAAGGGATAGATTTGTTTCCAAGAGCCTTTCTCTACCARACATGCCCAGAGCACACATAACACATATGCAATGGTAAAATATTGATAAATTATAATTTTGAAGCTGTCATTTGGGGAACCAAAGGCCACTGTGTTGCCAAACCTCTGCATATGGGCATAGGAGTAAAAGCACGTGCCCAAGAAATAGGAATTGCCTCTGATGTTTTTCCCAGCACTACCCTGCACATGAAGCAGGCAGTGTCTGCAGGGTGCCTCCACACCCCCTGTGAGACTGTGGCACAGCAGTCCCRGGCACTGCATGAGAGTAGGTTTTTTTCCACATATGATGTGCTTTTTGTTGTGAACCAACAGTTAGCAGAGCTGGAGTCCATGGCCCCTGAGCAGCTTCAGTGACTCTGCTTGGATGAAATGAGCAGCACAGCACAGGCRTGGGATAGAGAGCATTAGGAGGTCAAGGGAAAAATGGATCTCTTCTTGGTTCACCTCAGTTCATGAATTCTGCTCCTGAAGAATCCCCACACATCAGATCACCATCTCCAACAATCTCACAAGAAGAAACAGCACCCAAAAAATGCTCTCCTTTCCTTTAGGAAGGCTACCACACCMTCCACCAGCTCATTTTCTCTGCAGTGTGCCTTCCTCACCTCTTAGAATTGCAAAGATGCCRCAAAAGTCACAACTGCAGTTCTTGCCATTCAGAAAGAGTCAGAAGAGTCACCCTTGCATTTATTTGGAGCTGTAAGAAGACAGTAAAGCTTTTAGAGCTGTAAAAATCCTCTGTTTCAGATGAAAAGTGATGGATAAGGATTCTCTGTGGCACAGGTTGGATATCAAAGTTTCAACAAATCAAATATTAAGTGTGTGACAGCTATGGGCAGATATTCATTGGTGCTGCTTTCCTCTTTTAGTTTGCACCTTTTACTTTRTGAAGAATTATAACTTTACTGAAATGCTACAAGGGCTTTTCATTTGCAGTGATTTCTCCTTGTAAGGCTGTATCAAAGGCTTCCATGTGGCTTCTCCTGAGACATTTAGACTAYGAGAGAAACAGGAAAACAAAGAATTGGGGAGGTTGGCTCTATGGCTGGTGGTAAGCTTTTATTGCCAGGAATTCAAACCACTCTTTAACCTTGGTGTAACAAGACAAAGTCACCTTTGAGCACGGTACTTGCTGAATGCCAGAAACAAGGAGATTTTGCAGTTTCTGTAAGACATGCCTTATGCTATGCTKATTCTCACAATGATGGCAGTATGAGATGTGATGAAAGCTTTTTCTCCCTCTTGAAGGTTTATAAAGTCTTACTCTCATGTGGATCCTGTTATGTTCAATCAGATACGAGGACGYTCTCCAGCCTCTCCCTTAGTCGAGGCACTTATAGGATTTCTTACTYCTTCCTATGGCCAATTTAAGGAAATAAACAGAAAAACGTTATCTCTAAAGCCTCCATTCCCCTTTGAAATCTGATTGAAACAGACTGAGAAATTGCTAGGCAGTGATTTGCTCACATGCAGCATGACTGAATAAAAATGGTTTCCAGGAAAAAAATAGAGTGAATTGATATTGTGCTGTAAAAATGCCCTAGCTGTTCTGATTAAGATGCCTATCTTGTAATGCTAAGCATGGTGTGAGTCAGCTCCTGCAGCCTTTGCTTAATCCCACTTCACATTAGCCTTTTAGCCCCTAAGTCTTTCTCAGCCTGAAATGTTCCCTGCCTGTTTCCCTACTTATTAAATGTTTATGCAGAATGCACTCTACCTGAACCTGAATGTTCCTCTAGAAACTCTGTCAATTTTTGTGTGCCCCCTCTTCCCAGCCGATTCATTCAGACAAGCAAATACCTGCCACACACAGGAACAAAGACATGGACAGCAGAATTTGTGACAGGAACAAGGCCAACAGCCTGGCGAGGCAGGATACTTCCAGCTGCTTCTGCAACTCTTTTTCTCAAAACCAGTGACCTGAAATGCTGAATTGAAATCACCTTCTTGGAGTTAGGGGGTCCTCTGAGATTCTGTCTTGTACTGACTGTTCAGGTGGCTGTGGCTTTGGCTTATTTATGTGTGAGTCCCATAGGATGCAGTTTTTCCTTTCTGAAATATTTTGGATTGATCAATTTCCATACATCARCATATAATTTCTGAGTATTGCAAAAACTTTGCATTCACAGGTTATGTTTTGGGGGGGTTAAGCTGTGTTTATTTTTTTGGGTGGGCTTTTTGTGTGTTTTTGTTGCTGTTGTTTATTTTTGGGGGGTTCTRGTTTTAGATGTAGAAGGGTTTGGGGGTTTAGATAGAATCTAAGATGTTTTTTTCATCAGAGACTCAACTTATTCAAATGATGCAGTGACTTTACTTCAAATCAAACTAGTAAAACACAACTTATTATACAAATACACCTGACTAAAATCCAAGGCTAATAAAATCAGTCATAAATTATGTGAAACATTTCAGCCACCCCCTTCCTATCCTACAGGCTTGTTATCTCAGGTTTTCACAGCTCCTTTCACAGGTTGCTGCYATGGTGAAGAATGACTGTGTGCCTGAGATTACCAGAGGATTGTGGATTTACACTGGTCCACTGAACTTCTAAAATGTATGAGTCATCCATATTTATTAATTAACACTGTGTAGGAGTACTATTGGACTCAGAGAAAAGCCAGTGGATGTCCTGATATCAACCTTATACATAAAAAAAAAWATCCCATAGGGCTAAATTTGGTTAGCCAAATTCATAATTAAAATACTGCAGGGATAAATTTTGAGTTAGAGTTTTCAAAAGTGGCCAACTTTTGGTCTTTCCTATATTAATACTAAACAGTGCTCTGAAATTAAATATTGTGTTGCAGCTCATTGCATTTTGAGAGCAGTTAAGGCAGTGTTTAGATTTTTAAAAGTCCTACCTTTATCCTGCAGGGGGTTTTACCTCCCCTCTGCAGAGTTTTTTTGGTCATGTCGTTAGCTGACCTTTTGATCCTGAGGAAATATCATGAGACCAGCATGACAAGGGAGGCTTCTGCTTGTTCTGATAAGCAAGAACCCAGAGTGGCCATCTGAGACTTTGAGGTGCTGAAATAAATTTTCATCTCATGCTAGGAGTTACGTGGCTGARGGGATTAAACACTCAGCTGCAAGCAGGCATTCAGGTTTTGTTTSCACTCTGACATTAATGAGTAAGAACATAAGCATCTGAGGAACCTCAGGAGATCAGGAAAGAAGTTACTACCTCCAGCTGCTCTTCACCTCCTTGTGCTCTCTGACCTG